CGTCATATCTCGACTAGCTGAGACGATCCGCCCGTCTGTCCATTATAATTTTGAAACACGATACAGGCCACAGTTATTTGCCAATTTTCACGAAATTTTGCATGTAGGATGGGTTCTGCCCAATGAAGACGCCTTTTGTTTTTTGTAAAGATCGGTTAATATTTAGGGGATGAAATGGACCAAATACTTAATTTTTGGCAGTTTTTTCTGGTCGCTTCAGAGGTCGCAATTAGGGCTCAATTATCGCGAAATTTTACATGGAGAAGAGAATTGGGTCAAAGAATAAGCATGTCTGTTCTGATAAAGATCGGTCAATATTTAGCGTGTCAAATGGACCCTGACTTTTCTGTGAAAAATTACAAAATTTGTATTCTATAGGGTATATATTTACTCCTGAATGACATAGAGCCGAGAAATTGATAATATATCCAAGAGGAGTGGTTGACCTTTAAATTGATACTAATTATATTGTCGTATGTACTCAGATGCGGGAGTTACATTTCAATATTTACAGGTGCTTACGTATTCATATATTATTTAGTAACCCATTATCAGACTAGAGGGCGAAAATATAGCGCTGATCTCTTTGAAATCGTCCATGAGGTTTTAGTTAAGGTCAAGAACAACGACTATAATTTTCGGTGATGATCAGATAATAATTTTGGGATGAAATCTTAATTTTTTGTGTTTTTTTTTCGATTCAATCTATAGGCCACAATTATAAGCCGAACATCAAAACACAGCCCACGGTGAAGGGAATATGGAGAAGTAATTAGAATATTAGTAATATTCGGAATATATGTCAGTGTAAAGAAGGGGGTCCTGTTGATCTCTAATCGGGCACGAGGGAGCAAATATCTCGAAATATTGCCAAGGCTCGGAATAAAAATCCACAGAAAGTTAGAGTTCCGTGGTCGGCCCCATCCGACTATACTGCTCCGCTCATTGGTTTTAAATTTTTTTTTTGGATCCAAAATAAATTTTTCGAGACCACAAAATAGCAGTGGATTTAGTATTTTTTTTTATAAACCCTTAAATAAAAAAATATTTTTTTTTTATTTTTTAATTTCTTTAAAAACTTTATTTATAATACATTTTTATTTAAAAATAATAAAAAATCATACAATTCATTAACGATATAATAATTAAATTAATTATTTTTTAAACAATATCATTATTTAATATATATATAAAATTTATGTACGTACGTGTATGTATATAATAATAAAATAAACATATAAACAATAATAATTATATTTGTTTAATATTAAAAAATAATAATAAAAACAAAGAAAATAAAAATAAAATATATAACTTCAAAAAATAATTAATTAATTTTTAACATATTTATATAATTTACACTTATTAACAAAAAAAGAAAATATTTAAAACAAATCTTTTTTTTCATTTAAGTTAGAGGGCCAATGAAGGGGAAGGTCCCCCCTTCATTGGAAAAAAATAATTAAAATCGTTTTTGTTTGTAGTTAAATAATAGTAGTATTAAAAACTATATAAAGAAGAAGACCAGTACCTTTTTTGTGTAGTGGAAAAAGGGGAAGGAGGGATTTGAAGTTTTATTTTTTTACATAAGAATATATATTTTTAGTATTTTTATTTATTTTTTCTAAAACATTTTTTTTTATAAATTAAATAATTTTATAAGTATTTTTTGTGACTTAAGTAAATTTGGGGAGTTTTTTTTATGTTTTATTTATATTTCTTTATATAACAAATAGACGCGTGCGTTAAGCATTGGTTTAGAACCAAGTTTCACTAGAAAGTTTTTGTTTTTTAACTAAATGACAAAAAAAATTAATAGACCTATAAAGAAAATAATTATAACTAAAAAAACTAAACAATATAATAAAAATATAATAAAAATAATAATTAAAAAAAAAAACAAAAATTGATATATAGACATTTTAAAACAAAGCTAACAATAAGCTAAGCAAGCCAAGCCAGCCAGTTAACGCTTCAAGCTCTTCAAAGAAGTATTGTGATTTTAATACGCTTTTATATTAGGTTTGTATGTGCATATTTTTTCTGAAAAAAATTTAAAACCTTCAGAATGGAACCAAACTTCATGGAGAGAAAGAGAGCGAGAGATACGGAGAGTAAGGGAAAATTCAAAATTGTTTAACAAAATCGACCAAAATTTGGGGTCATTTATAAAGCGTGGATTTTTTAAAAATATTTTTCAAGAGGCCTTTAATAGGTGTGGATTTTTTAAAAATGTTTTTAAGAGCCTTTTCATAGTTGGGGATTTAAAAAAAGGTTTTTTTTTTTAATATTTTGTAAGAAACCTTTAAATTAAAAATTACCCAAAAATCGAGCAATATTTGTCAATTTTTTTACTGCAATAGCAATAAATTAGTCTTAAAAAAATAGAACAAATAAAATCTCCAAAAATTTAAAAATCGACCAAACTTCTTATTTCTTCTGAAAAATAAAAACAAAATAAAAATTTCAAAAAATAAAAAAATTACCAAAACATCGAGCAAAATTTTGAGTAAAAAATACCCAAAAATCGAGCAAATGTTGGCAAAAGGTCCTTAAAAATATTAAAAAAATTCACCCTTATATAGGACCGTTAAAAAATATTATTAAAAATATTTTTTAAGGGTCCTATAATATGGATGGATTTTTTTTTAAATATTTTTAAGGACCTTTTGCCAACATTTGCTCGATTTTTGGGTATTTTTTACCCAAAATTTGGTCGATTTTTTTGGTAATTTTTTTATTTTTGGAAATATTTGGTTTTTCTATTTTTCAGAAAAAATAAAAAAAAACGAACCCAAATTTTGATAGATTTTTTGGTAATTTTTTTATTTTTGGAGGATTTTTATTTTTTACACCAAATTTGGTCGATTTTTTTATTTTTGGAGATTTTTGTTTGTTCTATTTTTAAGACTAATTTATTGCTATTGCAGTATAAACGAAAATAAAAAAATGGCTGCCAAAAATTTGCTTGATGTTTTTGACCATTTTTTGAATATTTTTGGGGATTTTTAATTTTTGTACCCAAAATTTGGTACATTTTTTTTTATTTTTGGAGAGTTTAGATTATATTATTTGTAAGAATAATGAAAATGTGTTGCCAAAAGTTGGTCGATTTTTTGCCATTTTTTTTATTTGTAGGGGTTTTTATTTTTTACCCAAAAATTTGGTCGGTTTTTTATTTTTGGAAATTTTTGTTTTTTTTTTCTATTTTTCAGAATAATTTATTGATGTTGCAATATTTTTTCTCTGGAGATTTCTGTTTGTTCTATTTTTTAAGACTACTTTATTGCTATTGCAGTAAAAACGAAAATAAAAAATGGTTGCCAAAAATTTGGTGTTGATGTTTTTGACCATTATTTTCATTTTTGGGGATTTTTAATTTTTGTACCCAAAATTTGGTAAATTTTTTTAAGTCTTGGAGAGTTTAGTTTGTATTATTTGTAAGAATAATGAAAATGTATTTTTGCCATTTTTTTATTTTTGGGGGTTTTTATTTTTTTACCCAAAAATTTGGTCGGTTTTATTTTTTGGTAATTTTTTTATTTTTGTATTTTTTTTCTATTTTTCAGAATAATTTATTGATGATGCAATAAAAAAGAAAATAAAAATCAAAACCTAATTTTGGCCGATTTTTTTTTGTGAATTTTTATTTTTTACCCAAAATTTGGTCACTTTATATTTTTGGAAATTTTTGTTTCTTCTATTTTGAAAAATATTTTATTACTATTGCAGTTAAAAATGAAAATAAAAAATTTTTTGCCCAAAATTTAGTCGATGTTTTTGACCATTTTTTTTTTATTTGTGGGTATTTTAAATGTTTTTAGCCAAAATTTGGTATTTTTTTATTTTTGGAGATTTTGGTTTGTTCTATTTTTAAGAACGATTTATTGCTATTGCAGTTAAAAATGGAAATAAAAAAATGTTTGCCCAAAATTTGGTCGATTTTTGGGTAATTTGTTTAATTTTGGTGATTTTTTTACCCAAATTTGGTCGATTTTATTTTTTTTTTGGAAATTTTTTCTTGTTCTATTTTTAAGAATAATTTATTGCTAATTCAGTTAAAAATGAAAATAAAAAAAAAAAAATTGCCCAAAAAATTGGTCGATTTTTTGGGCAATTTTTTTGACCAAAAATTTGGTCGATTTTTTGGCCTTGTTTTTGCAATAAAAAATGTTTTACCCCAAATGCGGAAGATTTTTTGGATAAAAAAATATCAATTTTTTTACCAAAAATTAAAAAAAAAATTACGAATTTTTGGTAAAAAAGAAAATATAATTTTTTTTGCCAAAAATTTGCTCGATTTTTGGCCTTTTTTATTTTTCGCAATTTAAAATTTTTTACCCCAAATGTGGCAGATTTTTTGGATAAAAAATATAAAATTTTTTACCAACAATTTGGCCATTTGTAAATTTTGGCAATTTTTTTCTACAATTTTGTCGATTTTTTTGGGTAAAAAAATATATAAAAAAATGTTACCAACAATTTGGTTGATTTTTTTATTTTTGGGGATTTTTGTACCCTACATTTAATCGATTTGGTCGAATTTTAAGGCCATTTTTAAATTTTGGCGATTTTTTGTATCCAAAATTTTGTAGATTTTTTTGGGTAAAAAAAGTTTACCAAAAATTTGGTCGATTTTTTGGGGATTTATATTTTCTTATCTAATATTTGGTCGAAAATTTTTTTGTATTTTTTACACAAAAATTTGGTCGAATTTTAGGCAATTTTGAAATTTTGGCGTTTTTTACCCCAAATTTGGTCGATTTTTGACAATTATTTTTTTGCTATTGTAGTATATAGACAACTATAAGGTACACTGTATCTATTTTTTGGAGGCAGCTCCCTTGGTAAGGAGCTCACTTTTTTTCTTCTCTCTCTATCTTTCCTCTCTCTGCTCTCCCTCCATGTTCTACCTAATTCCATTTCTTTGTTTCATTCTCTCTTGAAAGCTTTTTGTTCCATTTACTTCCTTTTTGTGCTCTTTTGGAAAAAAAATCTCTTTACGATTTTTTCAAATCATCTCTTTTGAAATTCCTTATGGCTGCCATTAATTGATCTCGGGGATGATCAGCTGGTAGGGGGGACCTCACCGCGGTCACCGGCTTCAAATTGACACTCATTAACATGGGTGGGGGTATGGGTGGCTTGGAGGCCACAATGGGAGGTGGTGGTGTTGTTGTTGATAACACGGGTGCGGTTTTTGGTGTCTGAGGTTTGGGTTTTAGAGTGGGTGTAGTGGCCACACTGCTGCTTCCGCTGCCTTCTCCTCCTCCATTGGTAACCGTGATGGATGTTGACTTTTGTAAATTTAAATGTAATTTGGCACTTAGAGGAGGTTTGGTGGCAGAGCTGCTAATTTTTATGACTTTCTCCTCTTCTTCCTGTTGCTTCTTCTGTTCCTCTTGGGCCAGGATTTTCTCTTTGAACCCAGTGCGCCGTAGGGTGTTTTGACCAAAGGGTGCAGGGTTGGTGGTGGTTTCTTGTGATTCCTTTTCTTCACGCTTGATGGAGGTGGATCGCAGCAATTGGGGCCCTGGGGTAATGGGACTGCCACCATTTACCACAATCATGGATTTAGTTTCCCTGTCCTCCCGTTTGGTTGAGGTGGATCGCAGCAATTGGGGCCCGGGGATAATGGGAGAGGGAGTGGTGGAGGGATTGGGTGTGGTAAAACGTTTATTATTCTGCCTTGGCAGGCTGGCTGTATTAACAATGGTTTGGGTTTGTGGCCGCAGCACCGATTCCACTGTGGGCCTTTGTAGATTTACTTTTAAACCAACCGAACTGCTGCTGGTGGTGGGTGTGGGGGTCGGGGTGCCGTTTGCGATGATGCTGAAGTTTTTGGTTGGTGTCGGTGGCTTGGTGGGTGTGGGTGGCTTGGTAGCAGGGTTAGCCGAGGCTGCCATTTCATTTGTGGCCTTCAATTTCGCCATAACCTCATTCCGATCAACAATAACATCGGGTAAGGGTTTCACTAAAATGGGTACCTTAAACTCCTGTTCGGGGATACCCATACGTTGTATGGTATCGAATTTGTTGGAGACCTCCTCCTCCTCTTTCTCCACCTCCTGTTGTTGTTGTTTTTGGCTACGTGGCATGGTTTTATTTTCATTCGTTTTGCCACCGAATATATAGTCACCCTCATTTTTAATGGCCACCTGGGCCTTGGGCCGTTCACTCCATGTGGCAAAATTAATGCTGGGCGGGCCGGAGTAGCGATAGACTTTGGGTAGTTCTTTGGGTGCTTTGGTCTCCCCCGAGGAGGGGGTTGGTTCTAATTTGACCTCCTCCACTGGGGCCTGGGAATTTTCCTCCACCGACTTCGAGGTCTGCCACAGTTGTTTCTGCTTTTCTTTTTCCTGCTCCGCGGATTTTTCTTCCGCGGCAATTTTTGTTTTCAATTCCAGGCTGGCAAATTTCAATTCCTCTGATGGCCGGCGCGTAGAAACCTCCATGGTTTCCTCCGGCTCTTGCTCTTGGGCCAAACTATTTTTACGTGAATTCAAAATGGTCTTCATGACCTCCAGACTCTGCAGGGAGGGTGATTCGCCAATGCTTAGCTCACTGGAGGAACGTCGACGATTTAGATTACCGGAAATTTGATCCAAGGATATTTGGGAAGAGGTTCGCTTGTTCAGATTATGACCCGCACCGTTATTCTCCAACCCCGAGGAGCTGGAAGAGGCCATGGCGGTGCTGTGAAATGAATCTGAACGATTTACAGAACGTCTCTGCTTAAGGCTGGTGACACTGTTACGCTTGCGGTAGAGTTTCTCCTCATCGGGAGCATTTGTGGGGGAATCAGGGCTGTCGGGTGGTTGTTGCACTTCTTTGGCTGTCCTGCTCATGTTCCCACCAGCTGAGATACTAAAATTACTCAGGGTATTCGGTTTGGCCGATTCAATTTCCTTAACCTCTTCGGGTTTCTTGATCAGCGTATCCAAGGCCTTATCCTGTATAATAGCTGTTAGTTCACCCAAAATATTATCCAAGGGGGTTGAGATGGGACTGGGTAAATCTTCCGATTTCATTTTCATTCCCTCCTCTTCTTCTTCTTCCTCCTCATCCTTTCTCTTCAATATTTCAAAATTCAATACCGGGCGCTCCACAATCTTTGGTGTTATGGGATTTTCCTGCTCCGGAGTTACCTCCTCAGCCAGTTTGCCATCGGCAAAATTTGGTGGCGGTGATATGGGTATGGCAAAATTCCATGACGATGTCTCCGAGGGTGTGGCCGAACATGGCACCTGCGTGAGGGGTGTCAGTAACTCACTATCTGTCTCATCTTGACTTCCGGCAGCATTTATCAGCGTCAATTCCTCCAGGGTCTTGGTCTCATTGAGTGGCTTCACCAAAGTCTTACCCAATTTAAAATTGTAGACCTTCACCATATCATCATCATCGGAAGAGGATTCAAAATTCGATTTGACATCTAAATGTGACACCTCTGAGGGTAGGCTATCGGGTATGGGTGAGGGTATTGGTTCGCCAATACCCGAATCGGCCTGCTTCGAGACATTATCATCTTCAATGGGCCGTTTTAAATTTTCCAAATGGGTTTCATAGCAAACATCCATATCGGGTGGTTCACAGGACAGCGAACGGGGCTCAGGGGTGGGGGTACGATTCAGCATAACCTTCGATACATTATTACCCAGCCGGGGAGGTTTGCTGCTGCCGATCACTTCTTCATCGGGGGTATTCAACATCGTGGTGGAGGTGGTAATACGTGGTTGTGGCTTTGGCAAATCAAGGGTTAGATCCTCCCTGCTTATTGCCCGCTCAGCTGGTTTAGGCACTGGGGTAGTGGGTGGTTCCGAGGTAACATTACTGGAAGCCAACGATTCATTATCCTCATCCATAGAATCTCTGGAAGGAGGGGCCGCAGGTGCTGCCGGTTTCTTTTTCTGAGGCAGGGGGACCACCTTTTTACGGGGTGAGGGCTCGGGGAATTGATTATGGTTTCCATTAGGGGTAGCCGTTAAGGGAGAGGGTGTGCTGGAAGCAGGTGCACTTTCAACATTTAAATTCAAATTCAAGGCATTTTTCTTTTGGACCTGGGCATAAAGGACCGTGTCTTCGGCATAACCATTGGAGGTGTGCTCCTCCTCCTCCTCCAGGACCTTTTCCTCACTCACATGTCCATTAAATTTATTACCATTTATATCACTGTGACCCAGGGACATAGCGGCATTTCCGTTGGGACTTAAATTTGGTGTCGAAACGGAAAAATCTTTGCCAGACAAAGATTTCCGTTCTCCATTTAGTGGCTGATTCTGCTCCATAATCAATGGACTCTTTTCCGGTATGGCCGCCTGACTGGGTGGTTTGGGTGCGGCACGTTTTTTACGTGGCGGTGCGGCGACTTTTGTTTGTTGTGCGCTACGGGACATTGTTGGTGCCGTCGGTCCCCTTGTGCTATGCACACCCGATGAATCCATTGAGTTCAGTGAATTTGTCGAACTATATGGACTAGTTGTTTTTGTTGTATGCTTCGAGTTGCGACCACTAAATTCGGAGGAGGACAACGATTCACGTATGATATTGGTGCGCTGCAGCTTCATAATCTCCTCGCTGTTGAAGTTATTATTATCGTATGACTCGGATTTGTGACACAGGCGGATTTCGGAAAGGCCAACAGCGCCAATGGTCAGATCGCAGCTGTAGACTTGACTAGCATCAACTGAAAATAGGGGAAAGAGATAGAAAAGAGAGATTAGATAATAGGAATAATAAATTAAAAAATTAAGGCATAACATAGGGTGTGAATTAAAAAATCAAGACCTACCTCTAGGCTTAAATTTTTTAAAACTAACTTTTCAAAGACTATCATCAGGCGTGGATTTTTATACCCTTCACTACACTGTGGTAAGGGGTCTTTGTATATATGTTTGTAACAGGCAAAATGAAACGAGATAGACACATGGTTCCTTTGGAGAATATGCATAGAATCACTTTCGAATTCGATATACGCATGTCCGTCCGTCCGTCTATCTGTCTGTAGATGTTAAATTGTAAACAAAGTACTGGTCGCATTTATGAACCGATTTGGATGAAATTTGGCACAAGTCACTTATTTGGTCCAAGGGCGAACCCTATTGAAATTGAAGAAAATCGGTTGAGATTTAGATGTAGCTCCCATATATATTTTCGTCCGATTTAAGGCAAATGGTGCACCAAAGTCCCTATATATCTTTTGATTAGCACGAAATTTGGCATAGGGTAATGAATTAGGTCTAGAATGATGGGTGTTAAGTTTCGTGAAAATCGGTTGAGATTGAGATATAGCTCCCATATATATTTTCGTCCGATTTAATGCTAATGGTGTACAAAAGTACCTATATATATTTCGATTTGCACGAAATTAGGGATAGGGTACTAAATTAGGACCAGAATGATGTGTGCTAAGTTTCCTGAAAATCGGTTCAGATTTAGAAATATCTCCCATATATATTTTCGTCCGATTTAAGGTAAACTCGGCACCAAAGTCCCTATTTATCTTTCGATTTGCACGAAATTTGGGATAGGGTACTGAATTAGGTCCAAAATGATGTGTGTTAAGTTTCGTGAAAATCGGTTCAGATTTAGATATAGATCCCATATATAGTTTTGCCCGATTTAAGGTATATGGGGCACCAAAGTCCCTATATATCTCTCGATGTGCACGAAATTTGGCACAGCGTACCCAATTAGGTCTAGAATGATGTGTGGTAAGTTTCCAGAAAATCGGTTCAGATTTAGATATAGCTCCCATATATATTTTCGTCCGATTTAATGCAAATAGTGCACCAAAGTCCCAATATTTCTATCGATTTGCACGAAATTTGGCACAGCGTAATGAATTAGGTCTAGAATGGTGTGTGTTAAGTTTCCTGAAAATCGGCTCAGATTTAGATATAGCTTCCAAATATATTTTCGTCCGATTTTAGGTAATCGGGGCACCAAGGTCCCTATATATCTTTCGATTTTCACGAAATTTAGAATAGGGTACTGAATTAACTTTACAATGGCGTGTGTCAAGTTTCGAGAAAATCGGGTCAGATTTGGATATATCTCACATATATATTTTCGTTCGATTTAAGGTAAACGGGCACCAAAGTCCATATGTATCTTTCGATTTGCACGAAATTTGGGGTAGGTTATTGAATTAGGTTCAGAATGACGTGTGCCAAGTTTCGAGAAAATCGGTTCAGATTTAGATATAGCTCCCGTATATAGTTTTGCCCGATTTTTTGTAAATGGTGGACCATAGTCCGTATATATCACTCAATTTGCACGAAATTTGGTATAGGATACTAAATTGAGTCCAAAACGACGTGTGCCAAGTTTCGTGAAAATCGGGTCAGATTTATAAATAGCTCCCATATATATTTTCGTCCGATTTAAGGTAAACGGGGCCCCAAAATACCTATATATATTTCGATTTACACGAAATTTGGCATAGTGTACTGAATTTAGTCTAGAAATATGTGTGTTAAATTTCGTGAAAATCGGTTCAGATCTAGATATAGCTCCTATATATATTTTCGTCGGATTTTTATGTATACAATTTTTAAGTATTTCTTAAAGTTCGGAATTTCTTACCTGGATTACGAAATTCATATTTTTGTGGATCCAGCAATTTATTATCGCACACCAAATCCAATAGTTTACTTAGAGGTACCCGGGCACCCAACCGTGCCACATACAACTGATCTTTGGGCAGCAAGACGGTTATGCGAAACGTTTGCTCGAAAGGAGCATTTGTGGTGGCAGCTGGCAACGGTGTTATCCGATTATATTCCAGTTGACTAGTTTCATTGATATTTGTTGTGGAGATGGATAGATTTGTGCTAGATTTGGAGAGTTTGCCATTTGGCATGGATTTTTCTGGAAGAGGCGGAAGAAGAAAAATTAGGAAAAAAATCTGAGATGCTATGTCATCCAATACTTACCCTTGTTTTTGCGGCCCAACCAACGATTGAGGGTGGAAAAGCCGGATTTACTCATTTTGTTTTTTTTTTAATTGTTTTAGACCGAGAGGGAGGAGAAAAAATTCTAAAGTTACGATTTTGTGCAGTTCGTTGTTGCTTTTTCTTTTCCAAAAAATATTCTTCCTAAAATAGTTCTCGTTTTTAGTTCTAGATTGGTTGTAACATTTTTGTGCGGACTTTGAATTTCAATTTCGTATAATCTGGTGTCCTTGGCTGTATTACTCAGACCAAACGGCGTTTTCCGTTTCACACTTTCAGCTCAACTAAATAAATTTTGCAGATTTCTGTAAAGATAACGAAAGAAGAAGATAAGTTAAAAAAATTATAAAAAACGTTGTTGATTAATAATCTTATCTGGAGAATTGAGGTAAATAAATGGCCCAAGATGATAAGTACTATAGTAGAACATCGTCGTCATCGTCCAATATTATCTTCGGGGGAAAAAATAATATTTTGCGTTTTTTTTTTTCAAATTTAATTTCTTTCATTTACAAACAAAAAAGAGGTGACAGGTTGATGGGAGATTTTTAGACAAAATGAAAACAATATTTGAAGCTACATGGGGTCAGGTTAGGGTACACATTTCAACAAAAAGAAGACGTTGATTTTTCAAAATATCCACAAGGCATGGATATTTGAATTTTTTTAATTCGACGCATACCAATGGCGCAGATTAAAACCAGTAAGGAAAGTAGTGAAGTCGGACGGCGCCGACTATATGATAACCTTAACCACTATGGGTATTTAAATAGGACTATTAAGATGAAATTGGATGAAATAATATATGAGATATTTATCTAAATGTGAATCTACCTAGATCTATCCATAAAGTATGTAAATCGACTTCAAACAAATATAAATATGTCATCCGTTGGGCTATGTCTGTACTTCTAGAAAACGCAACTATGTAATTCTATGCTCAATTTTGTACGTTGTGCAAAATTTGATGTCAATCTGACTAACATGAGGAGTTTGATGCCCAATTTACTTGAAATCGGGCGAAAATATATATGGAAGCTCTATCCAAATATTAAGCGATTTCAAACAAACTAGTGACAGGATAGGTTATACTAATTTCAGAACGTTTTGTTCCTATTGGTTCTTGGTGCGTCAATTACTTAAAATCAATCTATAATAAAAGGGAGCTATATCTAAATCTGGACCGATTTTCACGAAACAACGCAGACATCACTCTAGGCTCAATTCAGTACGTTATGCCAAATTTCGTGCAAATCGAAAGATATATAGCGACTTTGGTGCACCATTTACATGAAATCGGACGAAACTATATGTGGGAGCTATATAGAAGTCTGGACCGATTTTCTCGAAACTTGGCAGACATCACTCTAGGCTCAATTCAATACGTTATGCCAAATTTCGTGCAAATCGAAGGATATATAGCGACATTGGTGCACCGATTTTCACGAAACTTGGCAGACATTAATTCAATACGTTATGCCAAACTTCGTGCAAATCGAAAGATATATAAAGATTTTGGGGCACCATTTACATGAAATCGGACGAAATATATATGGGAGCTATATCTAAATCTGGACCGATTTTCACGAAACGTGGCAGACATCACTCTAGGCTTAATTCAGTACGTTATGCCAAATTTCGTGCAAATCAAAAGATATATAGGGACTTTGGGGCACCATTTATATGAAAGCGGACGAAACTATATATGGGAGCTATATCTAAATCTGGACCGATTTTCTCGAAACTTGGCAGACATCATTCTGGGCTCAATTAAGTACGTTATGCCAAATTTCGTGCAAATCGAAGGATATATAGGGACTTTGGGGCACCATTAACATGAAATCGGACGAAACTATATAAGGGAGCTATATCTAAATCTGGACCGATTTTCACGAAAATTGGCAGACATCAATATAGACCTAAATGATTAGCCTGTACCAAATTTCGTGCAAATCGAAAGATATATAGGGACCGTTTACATTAAATCGGTTAAATATATATATGGGAGCTATATCTAAATCTGAACCGATTTTTCCCAATTTCAATAGGGTTCGTCCTTGGGCCGAATAAGTGACCTATGCCAAATTTCATCCAATTCGGATCATAAATGCGACCTGTACTTTGTTTACAATTTAACATGGACAGACAGACAGACGGACGGACGGACATGCATAAATCGACTTAGAAAGTGATTCTATGCATATTCTCAAAAGGAACCATGGGTCTATCTCAATTATTTTTGCCTGTTACAAACATATGCACAAAGACATAATACCCTGTACCACAGTGCGGTGAAGGGTATAAAGAGGTGACAGGTTGATGGGACAGATTTTTAGACAAAATGACAACAATATTTGAAGGTACATCGGGCCAGGATTGGGTACACATTTCTACAACATATTTGAAAAACAATATTTATACCCTACACAACTATGTTGTCAGGGTATTATAGCTTTGTGCAGCCCCAAGAGTTTGTAACGCCGCGAAATATTGGTCCTAGACCCATCTTTAATTATACCGATCGTCATATCTCGATAGCTGAATCGATCTAGACATATGTGTCCGTCCGTCCGTCCATTTGTAAACACGACACAGGCCACAGTTATGGACCAATCTTCACGAAATTTTACATGTGGAATGGGTTCTGGTCAATGAAAACCCCTATTGTTTTTGGAAAAGATCGGTAAATATTTAGGGGATAAAATGGACCAAATACTTAATTTTTGTCCGTTTTTCTGCTCGCTCCAGAGGCCGCAATTATGGCCCAAACAACGCAACGCACATGGAAAACGGGATCGGGCTAAAGAATAAGCATGCCTGTTTTCATAAAGATCGGTCAATATTTAGCGGTGCAAATGGACCCCGACTTTTGTGTGAAAAATTACAAAATTTGTATTCCATTACCATATTAGAGTGGGACATATCGCGCTGATGGCTTTAAAATTTTTCATGAAGTTCCGATTATGGTCAAGAACAACGCCTACGATTTGGGATGAAATGGACCGAAAACATAATTTTTTTTAATATAATATATATAATTTTTAATATATATAATCCGAAAATCACTACACAACCCACCGTGAAGGTAATCTGGACAAGTAATTAGAAGGACTGTACTGAATATTCGAAAAAGTAAGGAAGAGGTGTTGTTGACCTCTAATCGGGCAAGAGGGGGCAAGTATCACGAAATATTACTCAGACTCGGAATAAACATCCTCAGATAGTTAGAGTTCGTGGTAGTTGTGTAGGGTATCGTATGGTCGGCCCCGTCCGACTATACTGCTCCGCTCACAGTTTTTTTGTAGATTAAAAAAACATCCATACCAAAATTCGCGGATTTTTATGCCCCTCACCACTCTGTGGTATAGGGTATTATGTCTTTGTGCATATGTTTGTAACAGGCAAAAGGAAACGATATGGACACATAGTTCCTTTTGATAATATGCATAGAATCACTTTGTAAGTCGATTTATGCATGTCCGTCCGTCTGTAGATGTTAAGTTGTATACAAAGTACAGGTCGCATTTATGATCCGAATGGAACAAAATTTGGTAAAGGTCAATTATTTGGTGCAAGGGCGAACCCTATTGAAATTGGTGAAAATCGGTTCAGATTTAGATATAGCTCCCATATATAGTTTCGACCGATTTTAGATAATTGGTGCACCAGAGACCTTATATATTTGTCGATTTGCACGAAATTCGCCATAGCGTACTGAATTGAGTCTGGAATGATGTGTGCTAATTTTTATTAAAATCGGTTCAGATTTAGATATAGTTCCCATATATAGTTTCGTCCGATTTTATGTAAGTGATGAACCAAAGTCCCTACATATCTTTCGATTTGCACGAAATTTGGCACAGCGCGATGAATTAGGTCTAGAATGATGTGTGTTAAGTTTCGTGAAAATCGGTTCAGATTTAGATATAGCTCCCATATATAGTTTCGCCCGATTTAAGGTATATGGTGTACCAAAGTCCCTATATATCTTTCGATTTTCACAAAATTTGGCAAAGCCTAATGATTTAGGTCTAGAATGATGTGTGCAAAGTTTTGTGAAAATCGGTTCGGATTTAGATATAGCTCCCATATATATTTTCGTCCGACTTAATGTAAAAGGGGCACCAAAGTGCCTATATATCTTTCGATTTGCACGAAATTTGGCACAGCGCAATGAATTAGGTCTAGAATGATGTGTATAAAGTTTCTTGAAAATCGGTTCAGATTTAGATATAGCTCCTATATATATTTTGTCCGCTTTTATATAAATGGTGCACCAAACTCTTAATGTTTGTCCGATTAACACGAAATTTTGCACAACGTATCAATAGCCTGCATATGTATTTCGAAGGGGTGTTTGATTGAAATTAAATTTTTAACAGTGTGGCGTACCGAGTAGCATGTATCCATTTTGCTATAAATCGTTTTCGATAAAAGTGTCTCATGGTACGGAGACGACTCTAAATCTGCCCGAATGAAATTAAATTTATCATAGATTGCAGAAAGACATGAGTATGTTCCTTCGTGGGAACATTGACATGCAATTGTAAGGATACATATGTGTAATATACCCAAAGTGGTGAAGGATATCATATAGTCGGCCCAGTCCGACTTTACTGCTTTCCTTGCTGGTTTAAAACAATATTTTTACGCACCTATAATAGGCGTGGATTTTTTAAAAATATTTTTTTAAGGCACCTAAAATTGGCGTGGAGTTTTTAAATAATTTTCAAAAAATATCTTATACATAGTCTTCTTCAATTTATTTTTTTAAGTAAACTTCTTCACCTCCCCCTCCCGCCCTGACACCTCTCTTATAATGATAATTGTGTGTACTTGTTATTTATTGCTATTTAATGACTGTATTTATGTTTTCACATTTGCTATCTTGAGTTTTTGATATGAAATATAAACACAGTAGAAGAAGAAACGAAAAAAATTAAACGACATGTACAAATTTAGTCACGTCCAGATCGGTATGGTCTGTGTTGAAATTATCTATTTTTTTTTCTTTTAGACAACTGTCAATCACTGCAAAAAATATTTGTGGCGTCTA